CTTCTTCCTCCTTTTTCTTATTCTTTCTCTCTTTCTCTCTTCTCCTTTCTTCTTCCTCTTTCAAACCCAGATCTGGGTTTCATCACATAACATGGAAACTAATCTTGAATATACTAAATAGCAAAGCTGAGATCTCCTAATCCTATTGTACCTATGATTTTGATGATTACAAAACACATTTGAGTGACTAATTGGTTCATTTAAGTGTGTAGTTAAAATGTCAAAAGATTGCAAAATTAGTAAACTTGGACTGCACTAAAAATGGATCAAAAGGCTTGAAAATGTGCAGAGAGTCAGCTTTTAAAAGTTGCAGCTGGCTGTTGAAGTGCAGAGAGTTGGCTCTAGAACCTGCAGCCGGCTCTACGGGTAAAACGTTACAAGCAACTTGTTTGGCGCGCGCGGAGAAAAGACGTAAAGCCGGCTCCAACTTTGCAGCCGATTGTGAGGGTGCATTTAATGCATAATGGTCAAGTTATTTGAAGATTATTTAATGTGTTTAAAGTTGGAATCTCAAAGCCGGCTCTAGGCTTTGTAGTCGGATGTGGAAGAAAACAAAATGTGCAGGAATCTCGCAAAGTCGGCTGCAGAATTTTTGAGCTGGCTCTATGGAGAAAACAGAATGTAGGAAACCCATAGAGCCGGCTATACAGAGCCCGCTTTAGAAGTGTAAGCCAGCTCTCTTAACAATCCTGCAACTCGAGTTTTGCATCCTACAGAGCATTTAATGACCCCCAACGGCTAGAAACGACTATTTTCGAGCATGGGGTTATAAATATGGTTGGTAACAAATATGAACAAGTTTAGAGAGCATTGTATTAAATATCTTTAACTACCAACTTGTGTTTTAACTTGAGATTTTGATCTTTGAGAGATCCTTATTTGTAATCCTTTTCTTGTTCTATTTGTAAGTGATATTGGGGGTGTGTTGATTCCTTCAAGAGTGATCTATAGAGATGATCTTTGGGGTTTATCTTGTAAAGGGGTGAGATTTGAGAGAAACACCCTTCTTCTTGTAAAAGGATTGAGTGGCTCCTTTAAGCCACCCTTGTTGTTGTTAGTGGAGAGTGTGGAGGAAATCCTTGGTGAGTGAAGCCAAGGTAGAGGACTAGGCTCCAAGTGGTTGGACTGAACCTTTATAAATCATTGAGCAAGCTCTTCTTTTCTACTCTCTTTAATTTTGGCTTTGTGATTGCAAAAAGGGAAGAATTTTTGGAATTCCAATTCACCCCCCTTTTGGAGTACATTGAGTCAACAAAGCCAACTAATAGAAAGGAACATAGATTAAAAAGAGTAAAGAATTTCTAGAAAAAAAGCAATTCGAGCCAAATCACATACAAGCCAACTGTAGATCTAATCTCGAAAATAATCAATATGAAAACCACTTAATCAACTCAGAAAATACACATAGAAAACACACAATAAGCAAAAGAACAAAACCAGATCTATACCCTCCTTCTCTTCCCTTTCACCTTGATCACTTTCCTTTCCCTCGCTTTCACCTACTTCTTCCTCTTCACTCTCTACTGTTGCTACAGCTATAGCTACAGCAAGGGCCGAATAATTTCTTCTAAAATACCCATCGTCCACCGACGCTGAACCTAGGCGGCCACAGGCATCCTTAGGTGTTGATGAGGGTGGACGTGGCCTCTTTAGACTAGCAATCTTCATAGACAGGCAAGGGACGGGAATAAGGGGTCGCGGAGGAGGTAATCGAGTTTGTTGAGTTGGATGAGGCAATTGAGTTTGTTGATGAGGGTAAGATCCAACTCCAGGTTGTGGCTAGTGCTAATGCTAATCCAAGAGTGGTGGCGCGGCTAATGGGGTTGGAGTCATTGTCGAAGAAGAACTGGGTTCTGATAGGGAAAAGTCCAGGTCCGGTTATACAGAGCAGGTCAATGAATTTTATGGATTGTTTATTGGAGTTTGATTTGATGGAAAGCAAGCATCACCGAGTGAGGACATCAATGTCGTTTCCAAAAGCAAGCCGAAGAAGGGAGCAGCTTTTCTAAAACCCAGATCTGGGTTTGAGAGAGGAAGAAGAAAGGAGAAGAGAGAAAAAAAGAGAGAGAAAGAATAAGAAGAAGAAGGAAGAAGGATGAGCAGGGAAAGAATATGAGGAAGAAGATGAAGTTTACAAGAGAACCTAGATTTGGGTTTGCAAAGGTAAGGGAAGAGGAAAGGTAAAGGAGAGAGAAAGTGAAAGAGGAAGAAGAGATGGCGTGGATGGAAAAAAAAGATATCAAAAGTTTTACATTAAATAAAAATACCACCTCATAAAAAAAAAGGTCAACTGTGTTTTTTTTTTTCCATGTCATTAGTCAAGCAAAAAAAGAATTGATTTTGTGGCATTTTAACGTGCCACCTGTCATTTAACTGACGGAAGGACCATTTTGGTACCAAAAATGAAAGTTTAAGGATAATTTTGGTACTTTTTAAAGGTGAGGGACAATTTTGGTGCCAAAGTGAAAAGTTGAGGGACTAAAATGGTACTTTAACCTTTGGATTATTCTACAAGAAAGGTGACCAAACAAATCTCGCAGGTTTTACAGACAGTGTTTATGGTGGAGATCTGGATAACAGAAAAAGCACTTCTGGGTATGTTTTTATGTTGAGATCTGGTGCACTTTCATGGTCTTCAAGGAAGTAGCCCATTGTGACTTTGTCCACAACAGAAGTGGAGTATGTGGCAGTGACTTCTTATGCTTGTCAAGCTATTTGGTTGAGAAGAGTTTTGGAAGAACTTGACCTGAATCAACATGAGGACACTTCAATTTATTGTGATAATAGTTTAACTATCAACCTTTCTGGAAATCCAGTTCTGCATGGGAGAAGCAAGCATATACATGTGAGGTATCATTTCTTGTGCAACTTGGTAGAAGATGGAACAATTGAGTTGACTTATTGTAGAACAGAAGATCAAGTGGCTGATATATTCACAAAACCCCTCAAAGTAGCAGCTTTCTCAAAATTGAGAGAGTTACTTGGTGTTTGTAGCATGCAAAATTCAGTTTGAGGGAGGGTCTACAGATTCTAGATTGTAGACATGGTGTTTTCCAGATTTCTTTAAACTGAAGTCTAAAGACTTTTAGTTTAAGGAAGGGATTGTTGGAAATTAAATCCTATTATTTAGCCATTATCTCTATAATTTAGGAAGTTTAAGTTATTTATTTGTTTTAGGTTGTTATAATTTAAATTATATTAGATAATATTGGTTAGTTATCTTTTTAGATAATGTTATCTTGTAAAGCCTATTTAAAGGCTAGTTTATTTTCAGTTCAATGAGAGATTTGGATTTTTATTCCATCTTCTTCTTCTCAATAATCTTTGATTTTTTAACAAAAGGAAGAACTAAAAACTATTTCTAGGCTCAACTGAAAAATTGAAAATCTCGAGCATTGAATTAATAAAAGAGCTAAAAACATCATAATGTTAACACATTATAAGAAACCCTCCAATAAGGTGGTTGGAATCTTCTAATCCCATCGAGATATATTACAATGTTGAAAAGGTACACCCTTAATTGAATAGAATGGTAAAAGATATGAGAGAAGTTGAAGCTTTTGAAAATGCACCCGAATCGTCACCATGAAGCAGTTTGATCAATTTAACTAGTTAAATCATTTAAACTGTCGACTTAATTAATATGAATAAATATAATGTTATGTAGTGATTTAACATGACAAGTACAATGGTTCTATTGGTTTGTCACTTCACCCGAAAGGCATGTTCGAATGTTCAAGTATGGTGGGTGTTAAAATGTAATTATCATATTTTTAACCTTCTAAGTAAAATGTATATATGCATGTAATTTTTTAATTAATTTATATAAAAAATTATAAAGATTTACTTTAAATTAATTAATTAAAATAATCTATTTAAATCTCAATTTTTATAATTTTTATATAAATTAATTATAAATACATGTAAAAATTTATATGATTATATTTCTAACTTGTAATATATTAATAAGTTTTTTTACATATGTTAAGGGTGAAATAAATATATTTTTAATTAAAAAGAAAAATGCAAATCAGTTCTAATTCTCTAAAAAATTAAATCTTGATTGGAAACTATACTGTTTTATTTAATTTAAA